GCTGCCATAATAAAGCAACACAGACAGGTGGCTTATAAATAACAGAAATCCGTTTCTCACAGTTCTGGAGGCTGGAAGTCCCAGATCAAGGGTGACAGCATGGTTGGGTTCTGGTGAGGTCTCTCTTGCTGGCTTATAGACAGCCACCTTTCTTTGTGTCCTCAAATGGCCTTCCTCGCCAGGAGAGACAGCAAGCTCTCTGGTGTCTCTCTTTATAAGGGCACGGATCCCATCGTGACACCTCACCCTCATGACTTCACCTAACCCTAACCACCTCCCTAAAGCCCACCTCCAGTACCATCACTTGGAGGTTAGGGCCTCAACACATGAATTTGGGGGCGGGGCAGGGGGGAGGGGTCCTTTTAGTCCATAACGAGGCAGACTACACTTTGCAGAAAAAAAGATTAGTGAAGTTGAAGACATTGAACACATGGCAATAGAAAGTATCCAAACTTTCTATTGAACACATGGCAATAGAAAGTATCCAAACAGACAGAAAAAAGACTGAAAAAAACAATTATAAATATTGCTGAGAGAAATTTGAAAGGACCTAGAGAGATATGTCATGTGTGTGAACTAGAAGACTCCTATGGTCAAGATATCAGTTCTCCCCAAAATGAAGGTTAGATTCGATGCAAACCCAATCAAAATCCCAACAGGCTCTTTTTTGGGCAGAAATTAATAAACTGACTCTAAAATTCATATGGAAATTCAAAAGTCCTAGAAGCAAAAATCAATTTTGAAAAGAAAAACAAAGTTGTAGGATTCAGACATTATGACTTCAAGACTTATTATAAAGCTACTGTTTGGTACTGGCATAAATATAGACAAAGATCAATAGAACAGAAAAAAATCCAGAAACGTACACATATATTCATGGTCAACTGGTTTTCAACAAAGGTACACAGTCGTTTCTGTGGAGAAATGATAGTCTTTTCAACAAATGGTGCTGGACCAATGGGACATCCATATATAAAAAAATGAATTTCAACCCATACCTTGCGTCGTATATAAAAAATGACCTACAAAAATTAACTTCAGATTGGTCATAGACTTAAATTTAAGTCTAAAACTATAAAGATTCTAAAAGGAAACACAGCAGAAAATCTTTGTTAGGCAAAGATTTCGATAGGATATCAAAAACGCAATACATAAAAGAAAAAAATTGATAAACTGAACCTCATCAAAATTAAGAATGGCTCTTCAAAACACATTCTTAAGAGAATGAAAAGACAAGCCACAAACTAGGAGAATATATTTGCCTAACATATAATTGATAAAAGACTGGTATCCAGAACATATACAGTATTTTCAAAACCCAAAACAAACAACCAAAGAAATCTTTTTTAAACGACTTACGATTTGAAGAGACAATTCCAGAAAGAAGATAGGCTGATGGCAAATGAGCATACGAAAATAAGTTCAACATAATTACTAAGTAGGGAAACGCAAAGTAAAACCACATTAGGACACCAGTATGCACCTATTAGAATGTCAGAGAACCAAAGGTCTGGCCGAACCCGCTGGTGGCAGAGCACTCGGAGCAGCCGAAATCCACATCCACAGCAGGCAGAGCACGACCACTTTGGCAAACAGTTTGGCAGTTTCCCACCATCCCGCTCCTAGGTATTTAGTCCAGGGAAATGAAAGTACATGTCATTACGAAGACTTGTCCAATGATATTTACAGCCGCTTGCTTTGTGAATTCCCCAAACTGGAAGCCATCTAAAAGTCCGTCCGCAGGCAAACAGATGAATAAGTTGTGGTATAACACGACAATGAAATACTATGCAGCAACCAGAGGAAATAAACTTCATGCATGCGACGTCATGGATGGATATAAAATAAATACGCTGAGAGAAAGAAGCCAGGTGTAAAGGAGCACATACTGTAAGTTTCCATTTCTATAAAATTCTAGAAAATCCAAGCCAGTCTATAAAGACAAGAAACATCACTGATTGCCTGAGAATGGTGTCGGGAAAGTTTGCAAAGGTCACGAGGAAACTTTGTGGGGTGACACATGTGTTCACTATCTTGATTGTGGTGATGGTTTCAATAAAGCTAGTTAAGAAACAAACTAATAATTGCAAACAGCTACACAGGGCTCAAATGAGCCAGGCACTTAAAAAACGGCTTTACTCATATTAACTTATTTAATCCTCCCATCAATAACCCTTCGAGGCAGTTAATATTACTGCCATTTTACAGAGGATTAAACTGAGTTATGAAGAAAAGATGGAAAGCTGGTGAAAGATAGAGCTGAGACTTGAATGCAGACACCTGGTGTTCTTAACCAACATTAGTTTCTCTGTATATAATGTTATTTTTCGACTCAATTACACATTAAGTGCCTGTGGTGTATATAGATAGTTCTTTGTTAGATATTTTTGCTGGATGCAAGGGAAGAGGTAGAAAATTCTCTACTCTTAAACTTAAAATATCCCTCCCACCATTTGCTACTTGTTCATTTGTAAGGAAAG